TTGGGCAATGGGCAGGCCATCAGATGTCTGACAGCCCTGATTGGGCAATGGGCAGGCCATCAGATGTCTGACAGCCCTGCATGGGCAATGGGCAGGCCATCAGATGTCTGACAGCCCTGATTGGGCAATGGGCAGGCCATCAGATGTCTGACAGCCCTGATTGGGCAATGGGCAGGCCATCAGATGTCTGACAGCCCTGCATGGGCAATGGGCAGGCCATCAGATGTCTGACAGCCCTGATTGGGCAATGGGGAGGCCATCAGATGTCAAAGCAATCTCAAACTAGTTTGCCTCCTGATTAGTACTGAGGGTAACATGGTTACATAAAGTTTCCAAGTAATCATTCATATAAAATTCTAGAAATTTATAAAGCTCTGTGTTGAAAACTGCATAAGTTTATCACATAATATGGGTGCTTTCTATTAAAACTGCTACTGAAATAGACTTAGTTTAACCATCTGTGTATACAAAAGCGATGCACATCTTCAATGTATATACAAACATTCTGGAAATTTGAAGATTCTGGGTTGGAAGCTGTAGGAATATAGGTATCCTCTATTCCAGTTACCCATTTCTCTGCTTGAAATTTCTAGTACTATTGGCCAAAAAAAAATTACACTTCATACAAGGTCAAACATGAATTGCTTGTAGCTCTTCTGTTTTTCATCCCATTGGAAAGAAGTGGAAAGAAGTTGAGAAATTTTTAGGGTAAGGTGAAGGAAGCACCAAGACACTCTCTGACCTTGACATTAAAGTAGAATCTTAAACTTATCTTTGGTCAAACACCTTATCTGACCATATAATTGGTTTGTCAGAGATTCACTTAAATTAGTGATATTATTTTGACTACAGAGATGTCTATCAGTTAGATCGTGAGTTAACCTTTTTCACTTTGTCTAATTTCAGTAATTTGACATGTTTATTTGGAGAGAATTACAACATGTTTATCTTATTATAACATCAGTAGTATTGTTTACATCTGACATTTCAAACATCGTAGAATTTGTGAAAATAAACTTTGACTTCATTCTACAGATATAAGTTATGGCTGTAAAAATATATCCACTTCAAACTTAATTGGGGGTGCCAGGGTTTTGTTACCCTACCCTTTTCATATAATTTAGATTTTAACTAGAAGCTCTAAAGAGCCTGAATCGCTCACCTTGGTCTATGTGCATATCAAACAAAGGAAACTCTCCAACACTGAAGACGAGAAAAGACTTCATGACAAAAATCTCTATTTTGTTGATCTTGTAATACTGATCTTTTAGTCTGTTTAATTTCTCTCTATCTTCTTTAGTTTTGGCTTAAAACACAAAAGAGGGTAAAAAAAATCCTTATTTAACGGCAATCACTCCTATAAAGAGTGACAGTCTACTAACTATATCGGCAAAATTTGACTTTTTAATAGATCTTGCCTTGCTGATCATTTTTGTGATTTATAGTGTTTATTTATCTATTACAATTTAAATCATATAAGGCATAACAGAAAAAAAATGTTTCTCTCTAAATATAAAAGTTTTCATGATAATAGGCAAAAATGTAAAAAAATGGTAAAATTGTCATTTATAGGCAATAACTCTTATAAGAATTTGTCTAACAGTTTTGACATATATATGGACAATTGGTAGAGCTCATTATTCTGAACATTTTTTTAAACTAGATACCCCAATGATGATTTAGGCCAAGTTTGGTTAAATTTGGGCCAGTAGTTTCAGAGGAGAAGATTTTTGTAAAAGTTAACGACGACGACAGACGACGGACGCCAAGTGATGAGAAAAGCTCACTTGGCCTTTTAGGCCAGGTGAGCTAAAAATGTATACCTTTTCATATATTGCGTAGGCTCAGATTCCTTATGTAATGTTTACATACAGCAAGACTTTCAGCTGTGAAAAAATTACAGGGCTTTTCATATAAACAAGTAATGGGAACTTTATTGACCTTATCATAAATTTCTGATAGTTTTCCCCACCTATTCACATATTTTCAAGCTGGAAAACGTGACCTATTCCAGCGGGATGTCCTATCAGCTTGTATATAGGAAGTGCACTTGGTGCAACCTGTCTTTATTGCCTTTTGCTTCACATTCATATATAACAGTAATAAATATAATGATAAAACAACCAAAATACCAAAATCTTCATTGACTTCATTCAATAACTTTGCTACATAATTGTGTATAAGGCCTAATTTCATATCTTATTTGACCATAAACTATGTAAACTTCATAACTGATTTATAAATAGAGGCACCATAATTTTGGAAGTATTTTTGTCATTTCTAGGACCAAATAATAGTTTTTATCTTGCCTACCTCCTTTACTGAGTTAATTAGTATAATCTTAGTAATTAAAATAATAACACTGTATTTGGTGGTTAACCTTTTAGACAAAATGCCAAAATATCTTTTGAAAAATTTTTACAGGAACTGTTGAGTTCACCTTGTTATGAAGGTAACACTCATCATCAAATATTTGTTCACCTCAATTTCTTCTAGGTTCTTCAGATTGGCATGTGTTGTAGTTCTATCTGCTTATATTATTACAAGGTGTTAGGTAAATTAAAATATAATTACTTGATTCTGATTTATGATTCTATGTAAATAAACAAACTGTTCTTATCCAAACTTAAAAGCATGTGTGTGTTTTCCTTCATGCAACCTACTGATAACAAAATACATGTATCTAGTGATGGTCTACAGGAGAAATCTATTGATAAGGTATCTAAGGTACCAACCTAAGAAATTATTATCTAGGGATGGTCTCAAAGGGCTACTTGTTAAGTCAATGTGTTCAGGGGTTGTTTAATGATTACCCAACCATGAGGATCTTCAGGGGTTTGGCAAATCTACTGATAGCTGGTTGATAACTAATTATTTAGTGAGGGTGTTCAGTGGTACCCTTGTTTTAAATCAACAACTCACCAGGGTCTTAATGGGTAATAAATCAAATCAAATATTATTATTCCAATCATGGTCCCACAGGGGGCATTTACAATTAACAATTATGATAGTATAAGCAACAAACATGAGACATTGTACAGTATATAACGTGACAGATATTATAATATACAATGAAAATAGCATTAATAACAAAAATACATTAAAAGTACTCTTGAGTATTTTTTTTTTTCATCCTTCCTTATGTCCAGCAGTGTAAAAATAAAAAAAAAAGTATTAATAATAAAGTTTGAACAACCTTAAATTATTATCTATAAAGATGGAAATTTGTTCATCTGCAGGAGACACCAAGGGACGGTGCTCTAGGATATACTGTTGATTGCGATCGGCAATAACAGCAATCCTCCCCGTGTCAGAAGCAGATGAACAAAATAAATAGAGAAACTGAATCCGGTCAATTAACAAATAATTATTATTTTTTTTTGTTTCAGAAGCAGATGAACAAAATAAATAGAGAAACTGAATCCGGTCAATTAACAAATAATTATTATTATTTTTTTTTTTTTTTAAGTAACAACAATTATTAATTATGCGAAACATGTCATATAAATCTGCTATTTGCAGTGTTTAACCAGGAATATACACAACTCTTTTAATACAGTAAAGTTCTCACAAGACAACAGCCATAGCAATTTCTCTTGGGAATTTAAGTTAATGAAATTGTGACATGATTCCGAAATAATGTGATATAAATGGTGTCTGTCTTCATTATATTTTGTGCAATAAAAGAGAAAATGAACTTCATCTTCAATATTACCAGAGTTACACTGCTGACATAGTCTAAGGTGTGGAGGAGTACCCTGGTATCGTCCTATTTCAATCTGCAAGTGGTGAGATGACACCCTAAATTTTGTTAATGATCTCCTAAGTTCAAAATTGGACATGATAGTTAGATATTTTTCGAAACAATAATTATTCTTAAATTTTACATAAGTGCGGAGCTTCCTTTCTGAATTCTTGGTCAGTTGATCCTTCCAAATTTTAATAATATGTAATATGTTCCTCATTAAATGTGTATGTTGGTAGAATGTTGACATTAGTGAGGATCTACTGGGTAATCCATTACTCATTTAAGATCTCCATTTGAAAACAATGACAAGGACAAAATATGAGGCTCATATGAAAAAATGCTGAAACCTAATGCTTTTACTTTACGATGATATTGATAATTACCTTGTAGTATTTGAAACTGTCTAGAACTGGAACTTCTGTCTATCTGTATCACAATGAAGGTATCCATAACATCTTTTAACTAGTCATTACTGTCAACAATCCACAATAGTGATGAGGTTCAGCAAACAGAATCAGCTTTCAGTTAATCAACACCATCATCAGGAAGGTTGCAGTATCCATAGAACCAGGAACCAGTTCAGCAACAGTACCAGCCATTGCCATCAAGTGAAATTCACTTACAATTTGAATAATGGACATGTTGACTTTAAAAATATTATTCTGGTGAATTTTTCATGCATCTTGTAAATATTTGTTAAGTTCAACAAGTTTGTTGATCACTAGATCCTCTGAGTTGCAGTTTTCTACAGTACCCATGTATGTATTTACTGTATATTTGTGTTTGTTGCTTGTGTTAACAGTCAACAGGCCAACCCAACTCACATTTTTCAACCAGATTTGTTTTGTCTTTTTTGGCACCAAAGTCTATATGTGAACAGAAATTTGTGTGTTTTGTAGTAAAAAGCTGCACGAGAAAAATAAGACATGCAACATTTTCAAGATATATTGATTAAATCTCAAGTAATCAATTTTTTTTATGAATATATTTTTGAAAGCATCTTCCCATATTCACGTCTTGACTATAAAAACACATGGAATGGCAATGATAACATTACTTTGAAATCTGACTGATATTTTTCACATAGAATGTTTATTTAGTTTTCCTTATAAGTTTATATACTGATCTTTTCCTTTGTAAATATTTTAATGTTTGCCAGTTTCTGATATTTGATATTTTTTAGGTAAATAATAATTTTTCTTCTTATTTCAGAAAAAAATCTTAAATTAATGAAAAATTACCACAAGACATCTATTATACAACTTTTATTAATAAATAAAATAGATATGTAAATCATAGTTTGGATCCTTTACTCTGGAAAAAGCCCATTATAGCATTCATACATTCATCAGATTGCCAACGTTCCATCAATATTTCACATTCATGCTTGTTAACTTGATATAATTTGTCCTTTTCCAGTTCTCTTGACACTAATTTGCATTTTTGTAAACTCTGAAATCAAAAAGTAAAAGATAAACTACCTACACCATTTTTATTTAATCCATTTTTTATGTTTATATAATTATGAGTAATGGTGGTTCTTGGTTTAAAAAGCCAATTAATTTCATCCAAAAGAATAAAGATTAAAGAAGAATTGTTAATGGCCACGAAATGGTAAACACATTAAAACAAAAAATCAATATTTCTAAGAGCATAGTTAATTGTTTGATGGTGTGAGTGTAAACTTTATCTGTAATTTAGTCAAAAGAATTAACCAATTTTTATGATATTTTTATTCAGACAAAACATCCAACATCATGGATCAACTTATTTTTTATGTATACATGTATAGGTAAACTGGTGTGGTGCATACTAAAATACAGAAATTATTATCCTTTACTTTTTATTGTTTTTACTATTTTTTATCAAGCTTACAGAAATTTTATCAAATAGGCATAACAAATAAACAAAAAATATAAAATCCTGGAAATAATAATTATGACCTCAATAACATTTTAGTTTGACCATTGTACATTCTTTTTTCTCAAAAGTTTCCAAAAACTTAACAACCTTCTAAACTAGATTTTTGTTTGTCTGAGGGAGACCAAATGAGTTTTTATGTACATATACATTTATCCTCAACATGGGTACACACACTGAAATGTTTCGCCTGCTTAACTGATCAAGGTGAATTTAAGTTTTTTAAGATAATGGTTTTGTAAGTAACAAGTATATTTAACATTATCAATGATCCATGCAATTGAGGTCAATGTCAGATGAACCCTGCAATACAGACATGTACACCTTGCAATCATTCCATACACCAAATATAGTTGACCTATTGCCTATAGTATCTGAAAAATAGACTGAACCATGAAAACTTAACATTGACAAATGAACCATGAAAATGAGGTGAAGGTCAGATGAACCCTACAAGACAAACATGAATGCCTTACAATCCTTCTATACACAAAATATGGTTGACAAATGAGCCATTAAAATGAGGTCAAGGTCAGATGAACCTTGCCAGACAGACATGTACACCTCACAATCATTCTATACACCAAATCTAGTTAACATATTGCTTACAGAATTTAAAGGAATAGACCAAACCACAAAAACTCTACATTGACTAATGATCCATAAAATGAAGTCAAGCTCAGATGAAATCTGCCAGACAACACCTTCCAATCATTCCACACACCGAATATAGGTGACCTACTGCTTTAAATACAGTATTTGAGAAGCAAACCTAATCACAAAAGGTTAACTATGATCACTTATCCTTGAAATGAGGTCAAGGGCAGTTGAACTCCATGACTGACATGTAGACCTTGCAAGAATCCAATACACCAAGTATATTTGTCATATTACTCATAATGAGTGAAAAATTCATATCACAAACAAACATGAAATTTTTTTTTAGGCAGTCTCTGAACCATGAAAATTAGGTCAAGGACAATGGAAGAATGATAGATGGAAATCTCATAACATAAGACATATGTATACAAGGTAGGAAACACCAAGGTGTCCTACTTCTAAATTTAAACTTTATACAAATAATTTACACTTTCATCACTGCTGGATTAGCATCTCTATGTCTCGCTTGCTGTACATGTGACTTTCGTTATCAGTGAGATAAAAATCCACTTATTAAAAAAGATTCAAAACAACAATACACATTACAAATATGCTTTAGGCAAGAAAAAATTGTAAGGGGGTTCTGCTAAACCCTATGTCTCTCCTGCGATTGCTGCTGTCAGTGTAAAAGTGTAATGTTGACTTAAAAAGTCAGTTCATTTATCAGTAAAATACGGAATTTTAACAAAAATTCAAATTTTTCTTTAGATGCTATTTCTTGGTCTTGAAGATTTGATTCTGTCCAAGCTTCATAACAATCCATGAAGGTTTACAAATTTATCATGTCAAAAAAGTTTAATCTCAGACTGTCTGTAAATTTTAACTGTAAATAAAAGAAGAATGTGTCTGAGGATGCAAATGCCCTGCTCAAGCTTTGCAATTTTTCCGAGTTAAAAAGGGGCATAACTCTAGAACGGTAAATGACTCACTGCCCAAATTCAAACTCTGTCTACTTGTTGTGGTTCTTAGAATTGTGTGTTAGTTTCATAAAATTGGGATGAGACAAACTCAAGTTAGAGTGCGTAAATAAAAGAAGAATGTGTCTGAGGACACGAATGCCATGCTCAAGCTTTGCAATTTTTCAAGTTATAAAGGCGCATACTCTGAAACTGTTAATGACATACTGCCAAAATTTAAACTCTGTCTGCATGTTGTGGTTCTTAGCATTGTGTATGAGTTTCATAATATTTGGATTCATGAGTAAAACTTAAGTTAGAGTGTGGAAATAAATTTTTATGCAATTTTCCAAGTTAAAAAGGGGCATAACTCTAGAATTATATGTGACTCACTGCCCAAATTCGAACTCTATCTGTGATTTTTTCATTCTAAGTGTTGTGTATGAGTTTCATAAAATTTGGATGAATCAAACTAAAATTAGAGAGTGGAAAAGAAACATGGAACAGACGGATGGAAGGACAGAAAGACAGAAAGACGAACAGTCAAGGGTAACACTTTATGCCCCCGTTGCCTATGGCATAAAAACGAAGTCAATCTATCAGAAAAATACTAAAAATGAAAAAAATATATTTTCAAAGGTTTGCTTCAGACATTATCTCTTAATCATTAAAAAGCTTCTGCCAAAATTTTGAAAAACTCTATAAAGCTTTGATAAAGTAATTGATGTGTAACAAACTTTAACCCCAGACTGTATCTACTTGTTAACTGTAAAAAAAGTAAGGTAATTTATCAGTAGAATACAGGAAATGAAAATAAATATTTTCAAAATTTTGCCCTGGCTACTGTATTTTGGTCATAAACAAGCTTCTGTCCAAATTTCATAAAATTCCATGAAGGTTTGACAAAGTTATTGATGACTGAAAAACTTGAACCTCAGACTGAGCCTGAGTGTTATCTGTCAAAAAACTAAGTCCGTTTATTAGTAAAATATGGAAAAATGAAAATAAACATTTTCAAAATTTTGCTCTGGATACTGTATTTTGATCATAAACAAGATTCTGTCTAAATTTTATAAAATTCCATGTAAGTTTGACAAAGTTATTGATGTCTAAAAAAACTTTAACCACAGACTGAACTTAAATATTGATGCCCCCGCTGACGCAGACGGAATCAAGGATCGCTATGTCTTGTTTTCGTGAAATAAATTTTGCAGGCTCAACAAAAATACATGTGTTTAAGTCCATATTCTAAGCTCCTACTCTGATGAGGATTTTCACACCATAAGCTTTTTACCAACATATCAGTTGTTGTAATTACAACTCATTCTATCAAAATACACAACAGATTTGACTAAAATCAACTTAAACCTTCAGCACTTTGTTCACTGAAATATAACAAACAAGAAGTTTCAATCAAAACGATACGTTTTATTTACAGTGAAAACCTGGTATCTTCCTGCTTTTGACTGAAATAGATGGGGAATGTGTCCATGGGACACAGATGATGCCCCCACTTGCATATAACGTTATAAAGGGAAATAACTCAAGAACTGTAAAAGTGACCCTACCCAAATTTGTACTTGATCTGAGTTTTGTGATAATAAGCATTGTTTATAAGTTTCATAACATTTAGTTAAGGCAAACTTAAGTTAGAGAATGGAAACAAAAAATTCTGCAATTTTTCCATTTGTAAAGGGGCATAACTCTAGAACGGTTATAGTGACGCCACCAAAATTCAAACCTGATCTGTGTTTTGTGGTAATTAGCATTGTGCATAAGTTTCATAAATTTTGGTTGAGGCAAACCAAATGTTAGAGAACAGAAACAAATATTTCAGCAATTTTTTCCATTTGTAAAGGGGCATAACTCTATAATGGTAAAAGTGTCGCTACCAAAATTCACACTTGATCTGTGTTTTGGGGTAAAAAGCATTGTGTGTAAGTTTTATAACATTTGGTTGAGGCGAACTAAAGTTAGAGAACGGAAACGAAAAATTCAGCAATTTTTCCATTTGTAAAGGGCATAACTCTAGAACGGTAAAAGTGAGGCCACCAAAATTCAAACTTGATCTGTGTTTTGTGGTAATAAGCATTGTGTATAAGTTTCATAACATTTGGTTGAGGCAAACTAAAGTTAGAGAACTGAAACCAATTTTGGGACATACGTACGTAAGTACGTACAAACGGACAAGGGTAAAACTTAATGCCCCCTCCGCTACGGCAGGGGCATAAAAATAGGGTATGAACCTTGCAAACTACATGTCTATATAACTTACTATTTTCGGCAGCTTTGCATACTGCTGAACTCTTGCTTCTGTTTCTTTCTGGAATACATCATTTGGGAAGACTTCACTTACTAGATTTCTATCACAAGCTTCCTGAGCAGTAATCTTCTTGTTGAATAATAACATTTCACTAGCCTGAAATCACAAATGACATACTCAATAAAACTGTTTATTACTGACATTCCTATATTTACAATCAATATATATAATCAACTATAGGTATAGAAAAATATTTTTCTTTCAAAATATACATCTCTTTTGAAAATTCTATAGTAAGGAGCCATATTGGACTTCATCAGGTCAAAGAAACAAAACTTAATAAATAACCTTTTAAAAAAATTCTCTTTGGCTTGATTTCATTTTACCTCATTTATTCTTGAAAATAAAAATCATCAAATATAATTTCCCTTTCAGTTTCAATGTTAGCTCTTATATCTGCTGGTGGTCATTTTTTTTTATTCCTGATCAGCACCTTAAGTAACAACACTTGTGAAAGCAGATGCCCTTAAAGTTTCAAAATCTTTGCAAAGCTGGCAAAATGGTATTTTGTTAAATAATATTATAAGACATTTCTTTCCAGTTAAACATCTTGGTTAAAAAAAATAAGTCAATATATGGTCAATTTTCCTGTAATTTGCCTGTATATACCGTCTAAAATTTGTGTGTATATGCTATTTAGTATTTTCCATGTTTTTGCTGTCTAGTATTTTGTGTTTATATGTTGTCCAGTGTGGAATAAAATCAACAGTGAATATATATAAAATAATTTGCTGTTATTTATAATTGAATAGAATATGAACTTTATCTTTAACCAAGGTAAAAATTTGTCCCATTTGTTTTACTTTCTATTAAAGCAGTTTGAATCAATCACATATAATGTTACTGTAATCATTTCTTGACTCATAAAAAAATAGGTAAATTTACTGTACATTCCTTTAGAAAACTTTTATGGGTTATCTCCCCTAATGAAACAAAGATTTAAAATTTTGATCTTTAAAACATTTTATTTTTGTGTAAAATAAAAAAAAAAAAAAAAGTGGCCATTATGTGGCAGAATATATACAATAAAATGCTTCGCTGGGGCGCAGCTTGATACGACCGCAGAGGTCGAACCCTGAACAGTTGGGGCAAGTATGGACACAAAATTCAAGCTTGATACAGCTATGACTTTGGATTGTCATTAAATATTTGACACAGCATAGGTTTCTGACACAGGATGAATGTGGTGTAAGAACTGGAAAAAATTTAATTTACCTATTATGGTGGAATATCCATTAACTAAATTGTTTGTTAATTTCAATATATCAAAGAATATGTAGAATTTAATGTTTGATGTAATGTAATAAAGCTGAAATTTGGACCGTTTTTGTTCAATGTGGACCAATTTGGTAACATGTATAAATAATCAAAAATCTAAATACATGGGAGCCCATTTAAATACATCATAAAGGTATTAAAATAGAAAGTGACATCATAGTCATGGCTAAAAATAAACAAAAATCCTTAATCAGCAACATTTAAAGTAATATCTAAAAATAAAATTCCTTTGTAACCATAAAAGCCCATTTAAATACATCATAAAGATATTAAAATAGAAAATGACATCATAGTCATGGCTAAACATAGCAAAAAACCCTTAATCAGCATCATTTAACAGTAATATCTAAAAATGGAAATTACATCATAAAGGTATTAAAATAGAAAATGACATCATAGTCATGGCTAAAAATAAACAAAATCCTTAATCAGCATCAGCAACATTTTATAGTAATATCTAAAAATAAAATTCCTTTGTAACCATAAAAGCCCATTTAAATACATCATAACAGATATTAAAATAGAAAATGACATCATAGTCATGGCTAAACATAGCAAAAACCTTAATCAGCATCATTTAACAGTAATATCTAAAAATAAAAACTTCTTTGCAACCATAAAAGTAAAATAGAAAATGACATCATAATCATAGCTAAAAATAAACAAAAATTTTTTTTATTGGCAAATTTTAAATGGAGTTTAGTATACTAAAACAATAAATTTGCAACCATAAACATGATAAAACCCCATTTAAACACATCATAAAAGTATTAAATAATTCAACTACATCATAAGGCTATAAAAATAGAAAATGACTTCATAGTCAAGGCTAAAGGTAAACAAAAAACCTTCATCAGCAAAATTTTATATTGGCAAATTTCCAATGAAGTGTATTACACTAAAATTGTTGGCAAATTTCCAATGCATTTATTAACAATAAAGTTATTGGCAAATTTCCAATTTACATAATTTAAAAGCAGTGTAGATGAGATATTTAAATGAGTTTGAATTACCAACCTTACACTGCTTTTAAATAATGTTCTTTACTCAATTATTTGTCTATTAAAATGGAAACCCTTGTTTTTTAACCTTTTTTCCCCTTATTCCTTAAACATTAGAGCCATAACCACCCCCCCCCCCCCCAAGCCAATTATTACTTTCCAATGTAACCTAAATTTCCAATATACATAATTTTAAATTTCAGTTCCTCATGATATATAACTGTATCATTATTATTTTCTTTCATATATAAATCTGAAACAACCATCTTTAAATGGAAAATTTTAATGAAAAAAAAAGGACAAAAATAAATCCTACCCCCCACACATTTTTTCAACCCCCTTTTGATTCATCATCCCCCACCTCAATCACAACCTTCAATTTGTGGTATGGTACATTGCAATACAATTTCACAGAGATCCATACACTTGAACACAAGTTTTTGTTGCAAACTAAAAAAATCCTTATTTTCGACCAATATTTGGCCCCTTATTCATAAATGTTTGAGCAATTAACCCCAAAACTCAATTCCTACTTTCTCTTCGTGATAAAAAATAACTAACTTAAAATGTAAATTTTAAACAAAAAAAAAAGGAAAAAAAAAAATTACCCCTTTTTTTACCCCCGCCCCCCTTATGATTCATCACCCCCACCCCCCTTTCCCCCCAAACCAAGCTCAATAACAGCCTTGCCTTTGTGGTATGGTACCTTGTAATACAATTTTAGAGAGATCCATACACTTGAACACAAGTTATTGTCTAGAAACTAAAAAATGCTTATTTTAAACCCCTTTTTAGGCCCCTTATTACTAAACGTTTTGGGCAATTACCACAACACTCAATTCCAGCTTTCCCTTTGTGAAATGGAACCTTGTAGTAAAATTTCAGAAAGATCCATACACTTACACACAAGTTATTGTCATGAAACTAGAAAAATGCTTGTTTTTTGCCCCCTTTTGGCCCCTTATTCCTAAAATTTTGAGGCAATTAACCCCAAAATCAATCCCAGCATTGACCCTTTGTGATATGGAATCTTGTGGTACAATGTCAAAGAGATCCATATGCTAACACACAGGTTATGTCTGGAAGTTACAAAAATGCTTATTTTCGGCCCCTTTTTGGCCCCTAATTCCTTAACTGTTGGTACCATAACCCCTAAAATCAATCCCCACCTTCCTATTGTGGTATTGAACCTTATGGTAAAATTTCATAGAGATCCATTCACTTAAACTAAAGTTAGAGTGCGAAAACCATTGTGTATTCGGACGATGACGCCGGACAACGACGACGCCGACGACGACGCCAACGTCATACCAATATACGACCTCAAAATTTTTTTGCGGTCGTATAAAAAATTGGTACACAGGAAGTTGATGAGCAATGAAACTGGAAACGCATTTAACAGTATAACAAGCTTACATGAAGCCTAATAAAATTGAGAATGGAAATGGGGAATATGTCAAAGAGACAATAACCTGACCAAAGAGCAGACAACAGCCGAAGGCCACCAATGGGTCTTCAACGCAGCGAGAAAATCCTGTACCCTGAGGTGGTCCTCAGCTGGCCCATAAATAAAATTGTGTACATGTACTAGTTCAGTGAAAATGGACATCACACTAAACTCCAAAACATATAAATGAACTAAAATTAAAAAATTTTAATAACATGTTTCAGGAGGATCTGATTTGTAGTTCCTGAGAAAATTATGACCAAAATTTCATATTCTTCGGATCACAGGTATACTAATCATATATATTTTCTTACCTTAGCTGTTCCCATTATCTTTGGGAATACATAGGATGAACAGCCCTCTGGTGATTGTCCTAGCTGTGAGAATGGAGTATGAAAGCTAGCCTAAAATCATACACATAATCTGTTGACAGATAGATTTGTCTCGCCTTTTTGTAGTTTTAATAGTATGATGCAAATATTGAATCCAAATGGAAATATTTAAATATGTAAATTATGGAAAACATTCAAAGTTAATGAACCATGATTGGTGCAGGACCAAATAACCCAATGGAAATGAGAAATACCAAATACCATTGACTTATCATAAGTGGTTCCCTTTACAATAACCTAAGCACAAACTTTGATTTGTAAACAATATAAAAGTTTTCAAAGTAAATAACCCATGCTGAAGGGGTAGGGCCATATAATCACCATAGAAAAGCGACTTGCATTTGCAAATACTAATACAACTGTACCAAACATTAGCGGTTCCTCATCAGAGGCGGATTTAGGGGGGGGGGGCCGGCAGTCAGTGAGCCCCCACTTTGAAAATTTCTGGATCCCCCACTGCTCATAAACTAATCTAATCACAAACTTAACATGTAAACTATGCAAAACATTCAAAGTCAATAGACCATGGCTGAGGGGGCGGGGTCAAATGGAAATGAGATGTGTCAATGCTAATGCTTCTACATACTAAATATCATTGACCAACCACTAGTGGTTCCTCTTTAAACTGACCTAATCACAAACTAATACATGTAAAGTTAGCAAAAGTTTCAAAGTCAATAGACCATAACTGAGGGGGTGGAGCCAACCAATTTCCATGGAAACGAGATGTGCCAATACTAACGCATCGACATACCAATTATCATTGACCTAACACTAGTGGTTCCCCAGAAACTGACCTAATCACAAACAAATACATGTAAAGTAAGCAAAAGTTTCAAAGTCAATAGACCATAACTGAGGGGGCTGGGCCAAATAATCTCCATGGAAATGAGATGTGCCAATGCTAATAAAACTGCATACCAAATATCATTGACCTGCCACTAGTGGTTCACCATAAAGTTGACCTAATCACAAACTAATACATTGTTGATGTTGCCAACATCAGACGCCACAGATGTAAACAGCATACCTAAGTCTTGCTTTTTCACTCCATCAAGGTTAGATAAAAACAAAGTTTTTTTCCACAATTATTAAGCCGACTTTCACAAAAATATAATATGCACATCTACATATTATGCACAACAATTGTGCAAATTTCATAGACCTCCTACCTATACTTTATAGTTTTTGCATTTACAAAAATTGTAGACATACTGATAAAGTGAAAACTATAGGGCTCCTGTACCTCTATATTGGACAATTAAGCCCAACTTTATCGATATTAAATAGCTTGCATAACAGTAAATCACCTATTTTTTCTGTTGAATTTGAATATCATAGACAAATTCCACACTTTTTTTCGTTACACAGAAAAAAAGGTAGGAAATTGTAAAATTTAACTGGTCAATTATTTAGTGAGATCAATAAAATAAATTTTCACACATTATACTTTTACCATGTTTTAGTCCTACCTTATCTGAAGCATAAACAACATCAAAAAGTCCCAAGACAGTAACAGAAACACCAACTGCTGGTCCATTGATCAGTCCAATTAATGGCTTAGGGAAATCTATAAAGGCATTCACAAATTTCCTGCAGAAAATATATATGTATCAATCACAAAATGTAACACAAGTTGTGAAAAAAATCAGGTATGGCTTTTAAATTAACTAGAGGAAAGGAAACCTTTACAAAATTAAACAGTTGACTTTGTTATTCTTCATTAGAAAATAATATTTTAAAGTTTACGAAATTATATAGCATACTTAAAAATTTAACTACAAGGAATTCATTCCATTTTAGTTTTTAATCAAGCTGTCAAATTTTCAAATCAAAACCTACTCTAATATGTCCCCTCCTTGTTTGGCCATAGCTCCAATGCCATCTGGTGGAATATTCATGAAGTTACTTAAATCATTACCACTACAATAATAATCACCAGCACCTAAAACACAAAGTACAATATATCTATTAAATTACACAAGACAAATATTATCAACATTGTGGTTGATCAAAATTTATCAAACTGGTCAACACAGGTTTAAAAAAAAAGGTAAAATAACAAAAATAACAAACTCAAAGGAAAATTCAAAACAAAAAGTCCCTTATCAAATAAATGCATACTGAATTTTCAAATTTAAAATATAAAGCTTGCAGAGCATTTTAAATTTAACTGTCAAGAGAGCATATTTATCAAATTGGTTGAGATTCTGTTTCTTTTATGATTTTTTACTGGTGTGATGACAATTTTTTAACAGATTTGCAATATCATGACATCCTCAGACATGGTTGCCTTTTTTCGTGGAATTACAATAGAATTTTCAGAGTAAAGCAAGAACTTTGTGTCTTAATTGAAGTTTGACCTAAGACCAAATGAACCACACGTTGATTATAAATTATAGAAAAAGGTTTCCTTGGGAAACAGAAGCCGCAGCTTGTAAATATACAGCAAATTTAGCAATTTTACCATTTATAAACGGACATAACTCAAGAGATGTGAAAGTAACGCCACTCAAAATTTGATTTTCATCTATGTTTAGTGGTAAAAAGCTAGGGTATAAGTTTCATAACATTTGGTTGAGGCAAAAAAAAGTTAGAAAACAGAAAACAATTTCAGGACAGACAGACATAGTACCGTCCATACGTATGGATGGACAAGGGTAAAACTATATGTCCCCATTACCTAGCAGCGTGGGCATAAAAATGATCAAACAGTTATGAAAAGTATTAATTGTTTAAGTGTAAAGGTTTCATCACTTCATAATTTTTGATACCACTGGAAATAAATTTACATCTGGATTTACTAGTCATGTATTTTTCTGCTGATGTAAAGTTGATTTTGATATAATCTGACTAAAAATATACATATGGAATAACTTTTAATAGTTCATTTTTTAAACATAGAGACACAGAAATATAAATACCTGTCAAAACAGCTAATGTACAGTTTTTATCATTTGCTGCTTCTAATAAAGCCAGGCCTATTTCTTCATACATCTGTTAATATAATGAACATTTGTTAATATTTATACAGAAATTCTTCTCGATATTAAAAACATGGGAAAATAATAAACACACTTTTTTAATTTTCATGTAAAGGCTGTTCTCTAAAAACATATGGTGCCTGGAAAATCCTTTCTATTGGAATTTCTCTGAAATTACTTAAGTTGTTCTTCCATTATCCTGTGTTAAAGTTAAGGACGTAAATGTTAGCTTAAAATGGGAACATCTACAGACTATCCATTGTAAAACTGACTTAAATCCGTCTCATCAATTATAAAATATCATTTTCATTCAAAGTAATTGTAGCATTTTTAGAAGGCTGAAAGGGTTGATCCAACATAATACTGGAAGGCATCACCACGGCACTATTTGATCAGTATATTGGCCCAACAGACTACGTTACTGAAGAGTAATAGATGATAACAGTAGGCATGAATGAATAGACAAATTAGTGTTGTTCCATTGCAGACTGAGTCTCTAGATAAGGATAAAGGTATCTTTTGATTCAAACTGGATCATTGGTTTCAGAGAATAACTTACAAAAAAGTTCTGATGTACATTTGTACAAATGAATGATAAACAAAAAGTGGTGGAAATAAAAAAAACTCACATGAATTTAGCCTATATCAACTAAGAAAGGATTAAATATATGATATATCATTTTTTTTAATGTTCTGACAGTTTTGTCAATATTTTAATGGAATATATGCTTCCTTAAACTTTACCTTATAATTGATGGCGTTTTTCTTTGCTGGTCTGTTCAGTGTTATTTTGTAGATACCATCATTCAATGTAACATCAACAGTTTCATACTTTCCGGCCGATTCTGTTGAAGATGCTGATGCTTTAGATTGACTCTCATCTCCTGCCAAGCTATGTACTAAATCTATATAGGCCTTCTGAGCTTCGTCCTGTGTAAAATTACAGTGTAATTAAATTTCTTTCTTTGCAATGATGATTAATTGATAATTTTATATTAGAATAAGGAGATGTGGTATGATTGCCATTGACACAACTATCTATCAAAGTTCAAATGAAGTGGATGCAAGCAATAATAGGCAACTGTACGACCTTCAACAATGAGAAAAACCCATACGGTATAGTTAGTTATAAAAGGTCCAGACATGCAAAATATGAAACAGTTCAATTGAGAAAACTAACAGCATAATCTATAACAAACCAATTTACGAAAAACAATTATGATAGACATGAACCAATGACAACCAATGACCGATGAACAATGACTGTTTTGATTAAAGCACCACTGATCAGTCATATGAAATGAAACAAGCGTCCAGCATACTAAATCACAACCCATCATTGATGGATTTTTAACTGTCTTATATCATTCAAGACTTCCACCAAAATTAACAACTGCTAGCTTCTCTCTGACAATCTTACCTGTGTCCTATGACAGACATTTCATTTCAGACACAGCTGAATTCTTCATAACAATCTTACCTGTGACCTATGACTCAGACAGTTCCTTTCAGACACAGCTGACTTCTTCATAACAATCTTACCTGTTTCCTATGACTCAGACAGTTCCTTTCGGACACAGCTGACTTCTTCATAACTATCTTACCCGAGTCCTATGACTCAGACAGTTCCTTTCAGACACAGCTGACTTCTTCATAACAATCTTACCTGTGTCCTATGACTCAGACAGTTCCTTTCAGACACAGCCGACTTCTTCATACCAATCTTACCTGTGTCCTATGACTCAGACATTTCCTTTCAGACACAGCTGACTTCTTCATACCAATCTTACATGTGTCCTTTGACTCAGACATTTCCTTTCAGACACAGCTGACTTCTTCATAACAATCTCACCTGCGTCATATCACTTAGATTGTTCCATGCATCCCATTTAGCTTTACCAACAAAATCCATCATGCCTGGTTTTTTAACATTACACTTTCCTATTGTTGCCTTAAACAAAAAGCAAAAAAGAAATAGAATTTATTGATGCATTACTAGAGGATATTTCATATTAAACCAAAAAACTTGACATTAAAAAAACTGTTATAATATATAAATATGTATTTATTTATTTCTACATGTTCACAATCTTCTATTTGACTTAAATAAATTCTGACAATGTTAGTTGACAAACATGTTGCTGTTCTGTATACCATTACCAATTCTTAAATAAAGTTTACAAGTTTTGACACAGTTTGACAAGCTTTACAAAAAGCTTTTTAATAGACACAACAAATTTATAATGTGTGTTTTATTTTATTTTTATTGCACTGGGTTGTGATAAGACATATGAGGTTCCTTCCTGACTTGGTACTGCTGCTGGTGGACTGTTGGTCCCATGAGGGTATCATCGTGGTCCCATGAGGGTATCATCAGCTTGGCAGTCAGTGTTTCCGTACAGACATGATTTATAACATACATGTACTTTTGCTATTAAATTCTCCTTTGATAAAGTTTTATTTTCATGTGTGTGTTGTGTTGTCTATCAAGGGCCACTAATCATGTTAATTGGAACAAATATTCTTAGCAATTTACAAGACGCATATGAATTCAAATTCAGTTGATCCTCTTTTACTATGTTTACTGTTTATGACATTTAGATTCAGACAAAGTTACCTTACATGGATTAGGCTATTCTTTTTAGGCCTATTTTAGTCATACAGCTTATCAAGTATTAATTTTTTAGAACTTGTTAATACCACTGCATGTTGACTGATAACCTCCGAGGGTATCATTAGCTCAGTAGTCAGCGCTTCAGATATGATTTATAACATACGTTATTTAAAACACTGTTGATAAATTTTGAAACTTTTAAGAAACTGAGGTTCCAACTACCCGAGGCAAAGTTAACCTTATGTGGATTTGCTGAATCTTTTCAGGTCTGTTTAGGTCCTTTTCAGTCCTTTTCAGTCATATAGCTCATCAAGTATTCAAGTAATTGTATATCCTTGGCTTTCAAATTTTTAGGTTTAAGCAATACTAATGAATGAATATAAAAAAAAAAGGACTTTGGACGCACAAAATTTATGAAGCGTTATTTTCATTTTTAAGCGGACACCAATGTCTCATTTAGACAAATTGAAAAAGGTTTAAGTTGCCTTGATATAAATCTGCCTTTGAATTATTCTCTTACCTCTCTGTCTTGTTCACTTACCTGTTTAAATAAAGCATAAATTGTTAGTTTTACATCATTGCCAGGTTCATTCTGCAGAGTGTTTAATTTAGCTTTTGCTTTCTCAAACTCTGCATCCATAGCGCCTAGAACTGGCCTTGATCTTTGAAATCCTCTTGTTGGCATAAAATGTACACTGCAAGAAAAATTATTGGTTTGAATAAATTAAGAATCAATATTTGATCTTTTGTTTTCTGTAATAATATCTACCATTAAAATGTAAGTTGCAAGATATTTCAAGACAAAGGGTCATGTGATACATTTTACACTATTAGAGTTTTGTTTTCCTTAGACTATAATACAGCTAAGCATTTACCAATATTAGTTTTGACTTTATAAAGTTGTTTTCCCAATTTTTTACTTAATCTTGATAGCATATTATTGCTTGGGCAATTAAAGAACCTTTGTTAGAACTCTCACATACCCCACACCTCCACATTGTCACTGGGCAAACAAAATCTCACCAGATTCCTATATAAGTTCAAAGACTCACTACAAAAGTCAACTGATAAAAGTTTCTTGTGGATATGGACATCTATATATAATGTCCTCATTTACTACAAAGCTTGTGTGGTTTCAGAGGAGTTGTGATGACAAACTATTGCAGTATTATATTTAGGCCAAAATTCTAAGTTCAAAGGGGTATAACTCGAGAAAAATAATTGAATCATATGTACATTTGCATAGTATGTCCTTATTATCTACAAAGTTTCATGAAATTCTGTTGTGTGGTTTCAGAGAAGTTGCGATGACAAGAACATGACTGATGGACAGACGGACAGGCCAAAAACATTATACCTATATGCAACTTTGTTGCGTGAGGTATCATTATTTTCCTTTTCATATGCTTTTAATAAAATGCTTCGCTGAGCGCAGCCTGATACGACCGCAGTGGTCGAACCCTGAACAGTTGGGGCAAATTTGGACACAATATTCAAGCTTGGTACTATCTGAATTTGGATTGTGATCAAATTTTTGACATAATATAGGTTTCAGACACAAAATAAATGTGATCAAAGATCTTACAAATCTAATGCGCAATACTGTGCAATTGAAGATTTCTTCTTGAAACTTTTCAAAAATTTGAAATTTTGAAAATTTTGAAAAAAAAATATGAAACCCTTTAAAAAAAAAATTGGAAACCCCCCTTCCCCCCAAACTTTTTGAATCCCCCTTTTAGCATTAACCATCAAACTCAATTGCAGTCTTTCCTTTGAAGAATGGAACCTTGTAGTACAATTTTAGAGAGATCCATACACTTGATCACAAGTTACTGTCTGGAAACTAAAAAAATGCTTTTTTTTAACCATAAAAGCCCATTTAAATACATCATAAAAGTATTAAAAAAGAAAATGACATCATAGGCATGGTTAAAATTAAAAAACCTTCATCAGCAACTTTTAATAGTAATATCTAAAAATAAAATTCCATCAGCAGCATTTAAAAGTAACTTCTAAAAATAAATTGACAGCTAGGACTTTGCAACCATAAAAACCCATTTAAATGCATCATAAAAGTATTAAAATAGAAAATGACATCATAATCATGCCTAAAATTAAAACACTTTCATCAGCAACATTAAATAGTAATATATAAAAATAAAATTCCTTCACATACATAATCATGGCTAAAATCAAATAATTTTTAAAATAGAAAATGACATCATAATCATGCCTAAAATTAAAAAGCCTCCAGGGCTAAAAATAAACAAAAAACCTTCATCAGCAACATTTCATATTGGCAAATTTTCAATGGAGTTTATTATACTAAAGTTATTGGCAAATTTCCAATGGAATTAATTGATACTAAAGTTATTGGCAAATTTCCAATATACATAATTTAAAACCAGTGTAGCTGAGATATTCAAATGAGTTTGAATTACAACCCCAATAAATTTGCAACCATAAAAGCCCATTTAAATACATCATAAAAGTATTAAAAAATTTAAATACATCATAAGGCTTTTAAAATAGAAAATGACATCATAATCATGGCTAAAAATTAAAAAAAAAACCTTCATCAGCAACATTTTATATTGGCAAATTTCCAATGAAGTTTATTATACTAAAGTTATTGGCAAATTTCAAATGGAATTAATTAACAATAAAGTTATTGGCAAATTTCCAATATACATAATTTAAAAGCAGTGTAGGTGAGATATTCAAATGAGTTTGAATTACCAACCTTACACTGCTTTCAAATTATGTTTTGTACTTAAGTAATTGTTCATTAACCTGGAAACCCTTGTTTTTTCCCCTTTTTTGCCCCTAATTCCTTAAAGGTTTGAGCCATAACCCCCCAAAGCCAATTCTTACTTTCCAATGGAGTTTATTATACTAAAATTATTGGCAAATTTCCAATGGAATTCATTAACAATAAATTTTTTGGCAAATTTCCAATATACATAATTTATCACCCCCAGTTTTTGGTGGGGTTCGTGTTGCTTAGTCTTTGGTTTTCTATGTTGTGTGATCTGTACTATTATTTGTCTGTTCGTCTTTTTATTTTTGGCCATGGCGTTGTCAGTTTGTTTTCGATCTATGAGTTTGACTGTCCCTCTGGTATCTTTCGTCCCTCTCTTAAAAGCAGCGTAGGTGAGATATTCAAATGAGTTTGAATTACCAACCTAACACTGCTTTTAAATTATGTTTTGTACTTAAGAAATTGTTCATTAACCTGGAAACCCTTGTTTTCCCCCTTTTTTGCCTCTTATTCCATAATGGTTTGAGCCATAACCTCCCCCAAAGCCAATTCTTACCATCCCTTTGTGGTATGGAAACTTGTGGTATAATTTCAGAGAGATCCATACACCATTCCACAAGTTATTGTCTGAAAACTAGAAAAATGTTGATTTGGGCCCTTTTTTGGCCCCACATACCTCATTGGACCAAAACTCTCAGCATATCAAAGAACCCCCATAATTCAATTTTTAATGAAATCAAACAAAGTTTAATTTTGGACCCTTCGGACCTCAATGTGGATAAATTTAAAAAGAGGCCCAAAATCCAAAAATCTAAATACACGGTTAGATTCAGCATATCAAAGAACCCCAAGAATTCAATTTTTGTTAAAATCAAAATAAGTTTAAATTTGGACCCTTTGGACCTTAATGTAGACCAATTTGAAAACGGGACCAAAAATTAAGAATCTAAATACACGGTTAGATTCAGCATATCAAAGAACCACAATGTTTCAATTTTTGATGAAATCAAACCATATCATTATTATTTGCTTTTATATATAAATCAGAAATAACCAACTTAAAATGGAAAATTTTAAAGATTTTTAATCCCCCCCCCCCAATTTTTTGAACCCCCTTATGATTCATCACCCAAACTCAATCCCAGCCTTCTCTTTGAGGTATGGTACCTTGCAGTACAATTTCAGAGAGATCCATGCACTTGAACACAAGTTATTGTCTGGAAACTAGAAAAATGCTTGTTTGTTGGACCCTTTTTGGCCCCAAATTCCTAAACGTTTAGGGCAATTACCCCCAAACTCAAACCCAGCTTTCCCTTTGTGATATGGAACCTTGTAGTACAATTTCATAAAGATCCATACACTTACACACAAACTATTGTCCTGAAACTAGAAAAATGATAGTTTTTTGCCCCTTTTTGACCCCTAATTCCTAAAATTTTGAGGCAATTACCCCCAAAATCAATCCCAGCCTTCCCTTTGTGGTATGGTACCTTGCAGTACAATTTCAGAGAGATCTATACACTTACACACAAGTTATTGTCATGAAACTAGAAAAATGCTTGTTTTTTGCCCCTTTTCTGGCCCCTAATTCCTTATATTTTGAGGCAATTACCCCCAAAATCAATCCCAGCATTCCCTTTGTGATATGGAACCTTGTGGTACAATGTCAGAGAGAACCATACACTAACACACAAGTTATTGTCTGGAAGTTACAAAAATGCTTATTTTTGGCCCCTAATACTTTAACTGTTGGTACCATAACCCCCAAAATCAATCCCAACCTTCCTTTTGTGGTATTGAACCTTATGGTAAAATTTCATAGAGATCCATTCACTTAAACTAAAGTTATTGTGCGAAAACCGATGTGTCTTTGGACGATGACGACGACGCCAACGTCATACCAATATACAACCGCATAATAACCTGATACAATGCTTGTTATTATATTTTTGTAAATCACTGCACCCAAATCCTTTTTGGACTCCAGCACTGAGTAAGGTACCAGACCTGGGGTCAATTAAATGCCAAAGTTTTAATTACAGTTCAATTACATAATTATTACATTGTCAATGTATTTAATTACATTTCAATCACTTTTGTGCTAAGAACTTTATCATGAAGGATAAAATGTGACCAGCTTATAAGTGGCTTTTTTACATGCACTGTTTAGCATTAAACCATTTAAAGCAGCATTGTTTTAAGTTTTGAAATTCTATATTTCATTTTCACATTTAATCATTTTAATAGATATAGGTTGCAAAGCCAGTCTTCAGGATAAACTTTTGAATCTACAGGTCCAAAGCTGAATTTTACAGAAATTTAAATTAGATTCTATTGGCCTGTAGAGAGGATTTTCACAAGCCGACAGCATTTTACAAGCCAGGGCTGGTGGGCCTGTGGTAGAGTGCGAAGACTGCGAAAGGCATCTGTAATTTGAGTTTACCTCACACAAGTTTATTGTATTTCATTCATTTACTATTTAATAAATTGATTCATAATTTGTTTTTGTTTTTTGTTGATGTTTTCTCTGGAAATCCTATGGTTGTCAAAATAAAAAAAATAATCAGTATTTTACAAATCAAACTTGTCATGCTTGTCACAATTACATTACCACAACAACAATGAATAACACAAAAACCAGGCAACAAAGAATATGTTTAATACTAAAGGTGCTGTATGTGAGTTCGTGGTCTAGTGGTTAAGACCGATGGCTACAGTACTGAAGGTCCCGAGTTCGATTCTCACTCGGTGTGCTTAAAATATCAGTACGTCAGAAGGGTGATTTTCACCCTCTCACACACATCTCTGGTACCCAGACCGGAGTTTAAACCAGAATGGGTACTATGGGGGCCTCGGTAGGTCAAAGTTGCTCCCGACTTTGACCTGGAGATCAATCTGCTGATATCTCTTCGGTTTGTCTGTTCCCGCCGAGCAGCCCGGTGGTTCTCTCTGAGTACTTCGGCTTCCTCCACCATAATAACAGATCCGGCCATGTCCTAACACTCCCTGGTGTTGGGGTGGGGATTGTCCTTGTAAATATTGAGCATTGTAAATACGTTAGTGACACATCTCCATTAATCCCGATAGGGAGTGTACACGGATTCCACTGTACCCTCGCAGCTCTCGAGAGGTGCTCCGTAAACGGAGGGATCTACGTACATACATACATACATTACTGCTATCAGTTCCTAAAGAGAATTTATTTTCATGTGTAAAGAAGCTTGAAGGTACCAACATATATATGCAATAATACTTATTTTGTGCTGTATAACAGGGAGAAAATATAAAGATGTTGATATATACATCTAAAAAAAATCTAATTATTCAATCTGCAATTGAATTTAAAATCAATATAAAAAAGGAAGATCATGTATTTGTATTGTATAAAATTTCAAAAGCCTATAATTTGAATAGGCTGAGTTTACTATAACACTAACAGTTATAGTAGTCTCAGGAATAGGTTACCTGTCACTGTCAGTTTGGACGAATCAAACTTATATCAATTTTGTTCATAGCATAATTCAAGTTAGTTTTCAAGGAAGAACTACATGTTGCCTTTGGCATAATATCGAGGGACATTGATGTTATAACATTTGGACCCTTTGGACCTTAATGTAGACCAATTTGAAAACGGGACCAAAAATTAAGAATCTAAATACACGGTTAGATTCAGCATATCAAAGAACCACAATGTTTCAATTTTTGATGAAATCAAACCATATCATTATTATTTGCTTTTATATATAAATCAGAAATAACCAACTTAAAATGGAAAATTTTAAAGATTTTTAATCCCCCCCCCCAATTTTTTGAACCCCCTTATGATTCATCACCCAAACTCAATCCCAGCCTTCTCTTTGAGGTATGGTACCTTGCAGTACAATTTCAGAGAGATCCATGCACTTGAACACAAGTTATTGTCTGGAAACTAGAAAAATGCTTGTTTGTTGGACCCTTTTTGGCCCCAAATTCCTAAACGTTTAGGGCAATTACCCCCAAACTCAAACCCAGCTTTCCCTTGTGATATGGAACCTTGTAGTACAATTTCATAAAGATCCATACACTTACACACAAACTATTGTCCTGAAACTAGAAAAATGATAGTTTTTTGCCCCTTTTTGACCCCTAATTCCTAAAATTTTGAGGCAATTACCCCCAAAATCAATCCCAGCCTTCCCTTTGTGGTATGGTACCTTGCAGTACAATTTCAGAGAGATCTATACACTTACACACAAGTTATTGTCATGAAACTAGAAAAATGCTTGTTTTTTGCCCCTTTTCTGGCCCCTAATTCCTTATATTTTGAGGCAATTACCCCCAAAATCAATCCCAGCATTCCCTTTGTGATATGGAACCTTGTGGTACAATGTCAGAGAGATCCATACACTAACACACAAGTTATTGTCTGGAAGTTACAAAAATGCTTATTTTTGGCCCCTAATACTTTAACTGTTGGTACCATAACCCCCAAAATCAATCCCAACCTTCCTTTTGTGGTATTGAACCTTATGGTAAAATTTCATAGAGATCCATTCACTTAAACTAAAGTTATTGTGCGAAAACCGATGTGTCTTTGGATGATGACGACGACGCCAACGTCATACCAATATACAACCGCATAATAACCTGATACAATGCTTGTTATTATATTTTTGTAAATCACTGCACCCAAATCCTTTTTGGACTCCAGCACTGAGTAAGGTACCAGACCTGGGGTCAATTAAATGCCAAAGTTTTAATTACAGTTCAATTACATAATTATTACATTGTCAATGTATTTAATTACATTTCAATCACTTTTGTGCTAAGAACTTTATCATGAAGGATAAAATGTGACCAGCTTATAAGTGGCTTTTTTACATGCACTGTTTAGCATTAAACCATTTAAAGCAGCATTGTTTTAAGTTTTGAAATTCTATATTTCATTTTCACATTTAATCATTTTAATAGATATAGGTTGCAAAGCCAGTCTTCAGGATAAACTTTTGAATCTACAGGTCCAAAGCTGAATTTTACAGAAATTTAAATTAGATTCTATTGGCCTGTAGAGAGGATTTTCACAAGCCGACAGCATTTTACAAGCCAGGGCTGGTGGGCCTGTGGTAGAGTGCGAAGACTGCGAAAGGCATCTGTAATTTGAGTTTACCTCACACAAGTTTATTGTATTTCATTCATTTACTATTTAATAAATTGATTCATAATTTGTTTTTGTTTTTTGTTGATGTTTTCTCTGGAAATCCTATGGTTGTCAAAATAAAAAAAATAATCAGTATTTTACAAATCAAACTTGTCATGCTTGTCACAATTACATTACCACAACAACAATGAATAACACAAAAACCAGGCAACAAAGAATATGTTTAATACTAAAGGTGCTGTATGTGAGTTCGTGGTCTAGTGGTTAAGACCGATGGCTACAGTACTGAAGGTCCCGAGTTCGATTCTCACTCGGTGTGCTTAAAATATCAGTACGTCAGAAGGGTGATTTTCACCCTCTCACACACATCTCTGGTACCCAGACCGGAGTTTAAACCAGAATGGGTACTATGGGGGCCTCGGTAGGTCAAAGTTGCTCCCGACTTTGACCTGGAGATCAATCTGCTGATATCTCTTCGGTTTGTCTGTTCCCGCCGAGCAGCCCGGTGGTTCTCTCTGAGTACTTCGGCTTCCTCCACCATAATAACAGATCCGGCCATGTCCTAACACTCCCTGGTGTTGGGGTGGGGATTGTCCTTGTAAATATTGAGCATTGTAAATACGTTAGTGACACATCTCCATTAATCCCGATAGGGAGTGTACACGGATTCCACTGTACCCTCGCAGCTCTCGAGAGGTGCTCCGTAAACGGAGGGATCTACGTACATACATACATACATTACTGCTATCAGTTCCTAAAGAGAATTTATTTTCATGTGTAAAGAAGCTTGAAGGTACCAACATATATATGCAATAATACTTATTTTGTGCTGTATAACAGGGAGAAAATATAAAGATGTTGATATATACATCTAAAAAAAATCTAATTATTCAATCTGCAATTGAATTTAAAATCAATATAAAAAAGGAAGATCATGTATTTGTATTGTATAAAATTTCAAAAGCCTATAATTTGAATAGGCTGAGTTTACTATAACACTAACAGTTATAGTAGTCTCAGGAATAGGTTACCTGTCACTGTCAGTTTGGACGAATCAAACTTATATCAATTTTGTTCATAGCATAATTCAAGTTAGTTTTCAAGGAAGAACTACATGTTGCCTTTGGCATAATATCGAGGGACATTGATGTTATAACATTTGGGCCCAGTTGAATCTTCCTTACCTGTGAGGCTATGTGCGAAAGTGGACTTTGATCAGAAAGAAGTAAAGTTTTTAAAATAGTAACATTGTAGTTGAAAAGTGTCATGTAACTTAAAATTCGAATTCTTAGAAAAATAATTGTTATATATACACCAAATTCTTATCAATTTCCCAATAAACTAACTTCTTGAAGGTTAAGATATGATTTTGAAAAGACCTCCTTATGGAGGCAGCCATTTTCAAACAAAAGCGCCACCTATCGACCATTAACCCAATGGCGGAAAACGAAGTTTACGAGGTAAAAAAAAAATCTGAGATCTTAATAAACAACTAATTTTGGAACGCATATGACAAGTTAAAGAGAGAAAAATATGTTTCAAATTATCAGTTTAAAGGAAGACTACTAGATCTGCAAAAAGATTTTTTTCTTTTATGTTCATTTCAGCTGTCAGTTTTGAAAATGATTCGTCCAAATACCTCAAATAAACCGGTACCTAAACTTATTCTTATGTAATATTAATTACTTAGAGACAAGTTTTTCATTATATAAGAAAACCTATAAAGGCACTTTGAAAAATTCAGTTGTTAGAACTTCTAATTAGCCGGTATCTTCTTCGTATTTCATTCCGAGAAATTTATCTTTTATGAACAAGTTGCTGAATTTTTTAAAAATTAAAACAAATTGTAAATATTTAACTCTAAAAGAATATATCTCTAAATTGAAGGTTGTGTAATTTGATGAATTTTGTCTCCGAAATACTTGGTCAAATTTTTTAAAATATGAAATTTTGCGGGGAACTTGTGTGATTTTAACTAAAGGCAGATCGACAAATTTGCATACAAGTTTAAATAGGTCTATATTATATATATAGTGTATAATTTGTATTTAAAATAGTTTGTAATTTATATGTATAACAGTGCTTCAGGCGCATGAAATTTATAAACTTGCATGTTGTTTTCATTTTCCTAGAAATGTAATTTTAATCTTCTACCAAATAAATGAATTCGTTTCTGATATACATGTAGGTTCTGGGACCCCTAAAATAAAAAAGGGAATTATAGCTAATTTATTTAGGGGTTCCAAATATTTTTAATAAAATATTTATAAATATTTGCCTTCTAATTTTCAAGCAGGTTGTTACATACCTGTCAACTGACCCTTATCCTGAGGGTCACACCCGAGAATTTCACCCCATACCCGGGATTTTCTAAATACCCGTTGGTTTGTTAAATAACCTGTGAATTTGGAAAATGAATTTGGAAAATGACCCGCTTCATATAAGGCACAAAATGTGCATCAGAATTAAGTAACCTTGTTTTGTAACCCCCATTGACATAATGGTTACATTGGTTACATTGGTTACACTCATACAAACTATCATAAATCATCATATTCAGAAATTCTCAAATCCTGGTACATTTGTAACCTCCATTGACCTAATGGTTACATTGGTTACTCACATGCAAGAATCCTTTATGCCATCATGTCACCATGGCAACCCCCTTATTCAGTAAGAGGTACTACTTGTACAAGTAATTTTTATTTACTTGAAGAAGTAATTATAATATACTTATATAAGTAAATTTGTAGGATACTTATTCAAGTGTATTTTATTTACTTGTATAAGTAAATTATTTTTTGGCCTAGTTATGTCCCTTAGGCATTCAGATTTTTTTACTTATACAAGTAAAAAAGTCATCCTATCTTCTTTTCTTGAATTCTTAGAACTTCTTTGCTCTAACAGAATTTTGAATTGTCTGTCCTTTGCAGATGTCTTTACTATTCATTTAAGTGTAATTTCATGGACAATGAAAATCGCATTTGTCTTTTATCTTTAGAACACTGCTCATTTACAAGCCCCCAAGGAGCAATTTTTGAAGGCCTTGCGCAAATACTTAAGATCTTTGCTCAATCAGTTTCTTTGTTGAATTAATGAGATGAAACATTGAACTCTTATCAAAAATTATGAGCTAACCTGAGAAAAATTGTTAAAGGCATGATTTTACATCTCAAAACTTGAGAATTTTTGTGGGATTGTAAAAAAAATTTACTTATACAAGTAAATTTTTTAGAAAATTAAGGGGAGATTATTCAAACAATATAATTAACTTGTATAAGTATATTTTATTTACTTCTTCAAGTAAATAAAAATTACTTGTACAAGTAGTACCCCTGACTGTTATTCATGGCTGTGAAGTTTCATGCATGGGAAGTCAGTCTGGTTACAATGGTTTACATGGTTACATGCATGGAGAAGTCAGGGTTACAATGGTTACATGCATGGGGAAGTCAGGTTACAATGTTTACATGCATGGGGAAGTCAGGTTACAATGTTTACATGCATGGGGAAGTCAAGTTACGATGGTTACATGCATGGGGAAGTCCGGTTACAATTGTTACATGAATGGGGAACACTGGTTACAATGGTTACATGCATGGGGAAGTCAGGTTACAATGGTTACATGCATGGGGAAGTCAGGTTACAATTGTTACATGAATGGGGAACACTGGTTACAATGGTTAAATGCATGGGGAAGTCAGGTTACACATGAGGCAGTCGGGTTACAATGGTTACATGCATGGGGATTGAGGGTTACAATGGTTACATGTATAGGGATTTAGGGTTACAATGGTTACATGCATGGGAAAGTCAGATTTCAATGGCTTATTATGCAATGAAGAAATAAAATTAAAGCTTTAAATTATTTTTAGTTAATACTTCACCATGTGAACATATTTTGGAAACTGTTCAATTTAAAATATATAGAAATGTCTCCTAAATACTTAAATTCAGCTGAAGAAAAGTTTATAAGCGTTATGACCTGAGATTTTCTTGTTCAATGCAGGTCATGAGATGATGACCTGCATTTTTATTTTCATAGGTTGACAGGTATGGTTGTTGACAATTTGATACAGCATAATGATCTTGTTCACAGCTCAACATTCTTGTAAGGTTTGCCATTGCAGAACTTTGTTGTATGAGGTTTATGACATTGGTGGTTTGATGGTAGTCACCAGTGTCAAACCTAGCCTCCCTTGGTTGAACCATGGTTTGATGGTAGTCACCAGTGTCAAACCTAGCCTCCCTTGGTTGAACCATGGTTTGATGGTAGTCACCAGTGTCAAACCTAGCCTCCCTTGGTTGAACCATGGTTTGATGGTAGTCACCAGTGTCAAACCTAGCCTCCCTTGGTTGAACCATTTCAGGGATATGAATGTTAAAATGTTCTAGTCCTGATATGAATGAGATATTTGCAACTGGACATTATCTATTATGATCATCATCATCCTATCATTCAAAACTGATTTTTCTAAGAAAATAGACAAAAAAATTTGCAGTAACTCGACCATCATATATTCAATATTCTGAATTTTAGCTCATTAATTAAAATAATTACAATCTTTATAGCCTTAAATACAAACAATTGATTTTTTTAGGTTGAAAACATATTGGAACAGAGAGAGGTTGATGGACAACTGCAGTTTTTTGTCAAGTGGAAGAATTTCAATGAAGACTGGAATACCTGGGAACCAGTAGACAATTTGTTGGATTGTTTTAACTTAATCCTTGAGTTTCAGGAAAAGCAACATGATAACACCAAAAAAGATGTTGAAAAGTCTAAACTTGCTAGAAAAGAGGCATTGAAAATTGTGAAGAAAGCCAAGAGATTGAATTCTGGTAGTGATAATATCAAGAAAGCTTTACTGAAGCATGCAGCTATTGTTAACAATGAGGATGTTAGCCTTAATCTATCAGTGGACACAAGCGTGCTTACTTCTACCCCTTGTAAGAAGTCGCCCAAATCACCAAAATCACCAACACAATCACCAAAAAGTTCCCCTAAATCCAGAAAATTGGGAGAAGGGGTAGCAACACCTATTAACTCTACGAAAAGGACTCCAAAGAAACCTTCCAAACTTGAAGAATATTTCGATCCATCAAAAATGTTTATTAAAAGTTCTAGTAAAATATTGTCAAATGGTGTTCAGAGTTCAAAAGTCAACACTCCAAGTGTTTTAAGAACTTTACTTACTACTAGCCTTCCTGTTTCTGCAAAACAAAGTAAGATTAACAACCCTTGTATGCAAGCTAGTGTAAAACTCAAAAAATGCACAATGAGTTCAGTTACATTAAACAGTAGCAAAAACTCAGATGCTTTGCAAAAAGACGCAGAAAGTGACAAAATAACTCAAAATGAATCGGATAGCTCTCAGAATAGTACAAAAATAAAAAGAAAATACAAGAAAAGATCAGATCAGGAAATACTAGGTGGAAATAAAAAGAAAACCTCCAAACTTGGAAACAAAGCTAAGAGTACAAGTTTGAAGATTAATCTGAAGAAGTCATTAGGAGTTAAAACTTTGAAGACATCTGATAAAAACTTTAAAATGAAGAAAACAGGGAATTTGTTGGTAGTTAAAATGAAACCAGCTATTAAAAAGGAAAAGAAAAGCCAATTAAGTGCTTCAAATCAGAGCGAATGTTTGGAAGCTGACACAAAAGATATAACGTTACAAGATATGAATAACAGTTCAGTGCAGGAAAAGAGCCATACAAAGACTTCACAAGGAGAGAAAAAAATTGTGAAGAAAAAAATAATATCAATGAAAATAAAAAAAGAACAGTTAAACAAGGATGGGAAAAAGAAAGGAGAGAAAAAAATCATAACAAAAGATCAGACAGATGGGAAAAAAATCAAGAAACAAAAGACAAATGATGTGAAAAAAGTGAAAGTAAAAAAGAAAAACAATGAAGATGGGAAGAAAGAGATAAAAGTAAAGGGAGTAAAGAGAAAGTTAGAAGATTGTATTGAAATTATAGACACTGAGTCTGATGATGATGTAGAAGTCAAATTTTCTTTATCTCCAAAATCTAAGAAGGCTAAAACTGACAATTCACCAAAAAGACCTGAAAATGAGAAAAAGATAGATGGTCCTAGCAAGATAGAAAAAGAACTGGCTAAAAAGACTCTGCAGGTGAAAGTTCGTCCAATGGAGACGTCATCATCTAATATAAAGAAGATGAGATTGATTGATGCAGTAAAACCCCATCCTGGAGTCTCAAAATCAGGTACACCATGTACATATCAAGTTGATACATCAAAATCGGGTACACCATGTACATATCAAGTCGATACATGTCTCAAAATCAGGTATACCATGTACATATCAAGTTGATACATCAAAATCACATACACCATGTACATATCAAGTCGATACATGTCTCAAAATCAGGTATACCATGTACATATCAAGTTGATACTTCAAAATCAGGTACACCATGTACATATCAAGTTGATACATCAAAATCAGGTACACCATGTACATATCAAGTTGATACATCAAAATCATGTACACCGTGTACATATCAAGTTGATACATCAAAATCAGGTACACCATGTACATATCAAGTTGATACATCAAAATCAGGTACACCATGTACATATCAATATCAAGTTGATAATGTCTCAAATCAGGTACACCATGTACATATCAAGTTGATAAATGTCTCAAATCAGGTACACCAAGTACATATCAAGTTGATACATGAACATATATATTATTTATACAGTTATTATCATGATTCTGAAATAGCTGTATTGCAATGAGCATATTGTCACATACCGATGCAATTCATTAAAGTATTGTGACCTAAAAAAAGTTATGCATTCTTTTTGATGTTTAGTAAGGTAGCTTTAAAACTTGTCTGATTCAAACATTATATGTGAATGATAATTTACATTTAAAACTGATAAAACTAATAGAGTCCTATATAAATTTAAGCCCCATTGCAGACTTGCACCAAGTTGTTCGGACATATTGTCATGATATTTATAGCAAAGCCTGGCATTTTTTTTTCTGTACTTTCAAAATATAGGAGTTGTTAGACTTTTTTGTTATGCTAAGCTGATTTTTAGGAATTTTGTCTTCTGTTTCTTCAGATATTTTAAAACTTTTTAAACTCTGTTGCTTTATACTTTCAGCAATTGTTCGACCAGTATCACCAACTCCTGTGTTCACATCCGTCAAGCCTATCATGTCAGCTACACATGCTAGACCCATGGTTGCCATGGATACACTTTGTGCAGATGTACCTGCAGGGTATCACTATGTCCCTGCTATGATCCCAATCAGTCCCTCATCAATGTCATACAAAATGTTACTGGATAGTCTCCCTTTCCAGTTTCACACAAAGAAGTCGAACAAGAAACGAGAAGACGAAATGGTGCGGGAAGATGATGTGGAACGGAGAATGAGTGTTAGACAAAGTGAATGTGCCTACCGATATAAAGAGATTGTTGTGAAAAAGTGTAACCGATACACACAGATCTGGTTAAATACACATTCAAAGTTAAAAAATTGTCTTAATCCTCAGGTACGTATATTTCATAAACTTTGTCATAGAAGGAGTTTGATGTTAGGACATGTTTTATATTTAATATTGCTTATCATTTCTCTCCATATGCTCAATCTGTTTCTTAGGGTATAGCCAACTTGACAGCTTTTAAAAGCATTGTACATTTTTCCGCCAGAACAGAATAAGCAATCCTGATTTTTCACACATTTCTGAATAATTGTCAATAAATGTTTCACCAGTTGTAATTTTGATGCTAGGTATTATAATATATTAGGTTATTAAATTAATGTGGGCTTTAAAATTGTCCACATGTTGACGGTGATCCGATACGCTGATAGTATGAATGTTTTGTTCTTTGTTTAGGTTATACAAGAAGTAGTGTCAGCTTTGAACTCTGCCAAGTATGATGATAGTAATCTAGTCATGTTTAGTGGTATAGGGAATGTGTTCTGCAGTGGTATTGATCTCACCTACTTGATCTCAAATTCAATGGACAGGAAAATGGCAGCAAGAAAAATGGTAGACGCTCTCAGGTATACATGATTATAAATGCATATGAATAAAAAGGGATGCGCCTGTATTGTTTGCCTCTGTTTATACCCGAAAGGCTTTGTCCTTTGGCAAAAGCAATTTGCTAAAATGTTTTATCAAATCCTAGTTTAAAATCATCTCTACAAGCTGATCAACTAGTAAAATATTTTAGCTAAATGATTTAAGTGAAAGGTTGTACAATTTAGTATTAAGCAAGTGCAGTGGAATGAAAATTACTGCCACCATTGAATTCCAATGATTGAGTGAAATTAAATCAATTTTGAATGCCTTCTTTAAAAAGAGGATGTCTGGTTTAAAAAGAATATGACTTGGATATGAAAACTTCTATCATTATGACAGTTTTTAAGAAATTTATTCTAAACATTCTTTTAATAAGCAATGAACTATGACTTTAACAGATAGTTATATTGTTAACTTGTAATTTTGATATTTTGTTTCAATAGTAATTACTTATCTGCTGATATCAAAAGGAGATATATAGATGGTTCAAGGAATCTTTGACACTAGTGGTAGTTAAAGGGTCAGCTATAGGTCAGGGACTGACCATTCTACCATTATGCTATTTTTTATTATATTACTAGTAATAATATGCTTAATTTTTATTTCAGGGATTTTATGAAAGCTCTCATCACATTTCCCAAACCTTTGATAGCGGTAGTGACAGGATCTGCCATTGGTCTGGGGATGACCATGCTACCGTTATGTGACATCGTCTATGCCAGTGATAAAGCATCATTCCATTTACCATATTCACAGCTGTCACAAACACCAGAAGGATGTGCATCATTTCTGTTACCAACCACAGTTGGAATGGCCATGGTTTGTATTGTTATATATTTAAACAAGGAGATGTATTTTTAAAAATTGAAAGTTTTTGCAGAAATAGATACACAAATTAATTAGAATTGATATCTATTGCAACTTGAAATAGGATTGCTACATATACGTACACACTAACACTGTTGAAGGCAACCCCACAGAGGAGGTCCACGATACGACTTCTACAAAGGCCATAAGATCAATGCATCTGTTATTCTATTGTATGTTTGATTATGATATCGAAATGTTTACAATGCACTCAATGTTCATTTAACTCTTTAATTTACAGCAGAGGGGTATATGTATTCATACCACCATATCCCTTCCGAGACAAAATTAGAAAATATGCCTTATTATTTTGTAATCACTTATAAATGGTGTTTTTATGGCTTTATTTACCTCCCTTGTCACCTAAATGTAATGCTAGTAAAGATTCATCTTATTTTAGGCTAATGAATTACTGATTGGAGGAAGGAAGATCACAGCTATCGAGGCCTGTCAACTTGGTCTAGTATCACAGGTTTTCTGGCCTACCAGTATAATGCAAGAAGTCATACCTAGAATAGAAAACATGGCCCTACAATCTGGCAAGGTAAACAAAATACACTCTTTATTGGGGAGTGTTAACTTGGTTTGGTATCTCATGTCTTTTGGCCAAGAAGTAATAAGATATTGAGAAAGTCATACCAGAACAGCAATGGTGGTCCTTCAATTAGTTAAATTAACTAGAAGAATTTCCTGTTAGACCAATGTCTGAAATCTTCAGAATAGAAAATATAGCCTTTTGTTTTCAACAGGTTTTCCTCAATAAAAAAAAAGCCACTAACTGTTAGTTCTTTGCAGCAACTTCTTTGAAGACTGCCTTGGTGGTCTTGCATTTACCTCAAGTGAAGGTTTTGAGTTCTTTCCCTGGTCAGAACAAACAAAAAATTACCACTTTTTGAAAATTTTAAAGTGGTTAGAATATTTCCAATTTTGAACCTTGTTTTCAGAGTTATTTCCCTTACATAAACATAAAAGATTTATTTAAAGTCATATATACATATAACAATACACCATGAGCTCTGTAGAGCCTTTAACTGACATACATATATATGATAAACACAAGACATAAAACACATAAAACAGTAAGCACATCATGCAAAGCATAAATACTGGTATCAAGCATAGCAAATTATAGTAAATAATAAGCAAATCAAAGCATAAAGAAGCAAACATAAAATGCAGATATAATGACATTCATGCAGTAGCTATTAAGCACTAAAAGAATTTCAAGCATTTAGAACAAGATAAAAAAGTATGCAAACAAAAATATAAACGTATATAAGATAGATAAATGTTCTACCAAAATACTCCATATAAAAAACAAGAAAATAACGCATTTATTTCATGTAAAAATACAGGCCTAATTGCATATGGTGTAGAAAATGAGATTTGAAATTAAAAAAATATTTTGTAATATCTTGCAAATGTTCTCTACTCAAAACGAATAAATAAGAAAAAGATAAATATTTGTCTTTTTAAAACATAGATTTAGAGTTCTATAAATAGACATTAGAATGATGCTCTGTAGTGGCTCTTTCTTTGGTGAAATTTTAAAGGTAGTATTTTGAATTGAAATTTCTGGTTGTTAAATCGGTGATTTATTGCATATCAATGAAATGGACTAATATTGTGACTTATATTTACTAACTTCTACGTCATCTGGTCTCTGGTGGAGAGTTGTCTCATTAGTAATCATACCGCACCTTCTTATTTTTATATTACTTTCTTTACAGGCTTTAGAGACAACAAAATTATTGATTAGAAGTCATCAGAGAACAAAAATAGAACTAACCAATGAATCTGAGTGTAATCTGTTGTTGGAAAGATGGCCGTCAATGGAGTGTCAGAAGGCAATAGAGATTTATCTTAACAACGATAACAACTTCTGTATATGAAGATTCTTGTATTTAGTATTGTATTTAATTGTAACAAGAAATTGTGCAACAAATTCCTGAAATGGGGAGGCCATCATTATATTGATTATATCGATGGATCTTGTCCCTTTTCACTTAGGAATTTAATCTAGAGCTTTGGAATACCTGTCTATGATAAAAGTCTCTCCTTTATTTCAGTCGCTACAGAATGAAGTTAACATACAATATGTATATCGTATATCGTGAAGTTTTGACTGATTTACTTCTGGAAGTAAACGTTGACTTTAAAACTGTTATATAGTAACTAAGATAATTGCAATTGAGCAGTTAAGTTCTGTATATGTACATATCATTTAACCACATTTTTTTTTATCACACAGGTTTAAATGACCTGTTCTGTAAATACACATACTTTTAATTCTTGTTTCAGAAAACAAATTTCTTTACCAAATTTTAATTCAGTCGTTCAAAAACTATTTCAATAATTATTTTCCTTCTATAATGTAAGAATTGTTCAGAAATACCTAGTCTCTTGTGTACGACTAAAATGCTTTGATGGTGGGGTTAAAGCTGATTTGTATAAGTTTTAACTGTTACCATGTGTTATATTTTGGTTTGTGTATAAAATATAAATGATGCTTTACTTTGATAACATGTAATTTATATATATGAAATTGTGTTCATTACATGTACCTACAAATCCATGTACTGTGTAACAATTTGCACATATTCATACAAGTCATAAGCTCATTTGTTAACCTACATTTGCATTTAACTGAATTATTAACTTTTGTATAGAATAACAAAATCTAGTCTTAGTATTAAATGATAAACTGGGTAAGAACTGTTACTGAGAATGATTACAATTTAAGGCCAAGGAAATGTCTGTTCAAGGCCATGATAAAAAATCCTACATTCCCAACCAACTTTTTGGTAAATTTATTTGGGCATGCAAATGATTAGGTCTGAGAACACAGTTATTTTGTAGTGAATTTCTTTTAGACAATTAATTCAAATTAAAAAATTGCACCTGCTCTATCTCAAAAAGAATTTAGCAGTGTAGTGTACTACTTTTGGGACAAATAATATCAAAATTATAGAAAAGTCGACCAGCTCCAACTCAAAATATGGACAATTCTATGTTCAGGGGGTCTATATAATTCAGTTTGACAGCTTCAGACATACTAATATTTTACCTTTTAAACTAGACCAAATCACTACATTACAGAAAAATTTATCACCCACATTTTTTTAACGTGTAATTTCATCCCTTTTCTTAATATTTTATGCTTAAAATATAAAGAAATAAGATTGCAAGTTATACACTCTCCACACTAGGGACTATATTTGTAGACAACGAAAATCAAAGGAAGATAACTTTGTCCTCAGACCATGATATGTTTGATGTATGGCAATTAGGCAGCAATGCAACACTACAATGAACAAAACTACATCTTAATGACATATGTGTTTCTGGTATAGAGAAATAATTTCATTGTTAAAAATCTATGATTCAAATGATAAAATTCACAAAACATGATACATTTGTAGATGGTCAATATACCTGTAAACCTGGATGTCAGTGTAGGATTGTTTTAGCTTTTTATTATGATCATATTGTTATTTTTGAAATATTTTTTGTCTCGCACCTGATAATGAATGGACCTCTAATTCAGTATTGTATAAATAAGTGTAAATTTGTTATATTCCACCATAATAGGTTATTTTATTTTATCCTGGGTTTTTTTCACACTGCCAAAAAAGATTTTTGTTATTGTTAACAATGAAATGTGTTGTAATTAATTGACATTTTCTGTTATTCTGCACTATGAAGAGAAGAAGTAGTGTTTGTATATAGAGAATCAAATAAGGTAGTGATTCAAACAGGTTGACTTTAACTCCCATTGTTAGACTTCTCATTTGAAACGGACTGGTCCCCTGTATGTTATAGTAAAAGTCCTTATATTTACACTAGTTACATGTAGTACACTGTGTCATTGTATTCAGTTTTTCTAATTGGTTTAAGTAAACTAGTCATTTAGGTTTTTTGTTGATATTAAATCATATTTTATAAACATTCCTTTGATGATTAGTTTTCGAGGAGTGTTTTTCACAGAAAATTCCATATGCCACAGGACTGATTTTTTGTAGGTTTCTTAAGTCAAACTACCACCAACAAAAGTGTTCCTAAATCTTTCAGATCATGCAATACTTACAGGCATAAGAAATTCAAATAAACAAGTTTTACTGAGCTAAAAATAGTTACACTTGAAATGCAAATTAGGTTGTTTGTATTTCAATGACAGGGGCAATTACAGAAATTTCAGTATAGAGGGGCATACACAATTATTTTAATGCCCCGTTTATGGGCATTATGTTTTTCGGTCTGTGTGTCCGTCCGTCCGTCCGTCTGTCTCGTTTCAGGTTAAAGTTTTTGGTCAAGGTAGTTTTTGATGAAGTTGAAGTCCAATCAACTTGAAACTTAGTACACATGTTCCCTATGATATGATCTTTCTCATGTGTACAAGTTTTTTTAATTTGGAATCTTTCTGTGTTACTTTCAGGACTGTCTTTCTTCCCTTTACTGTATTTGGAATGTGGATCACATCACATCTGAAAGCTTTCACATGACTTTAACTTCATTTTCAGTCAAGTTTAGTTTATATAAAGATTAATTCTGTTTCACAATATATATGATAGGCCTACAATATTTACCATTTAAACATTGCTTAAAGTGAGTATACATTGTTTTGAAAGGTCACATGACCTTAACCTAATTTTCATAATAAAGAGTATGAGAAGTTTTGACTGAATGTGTAAAAAAGGTTACAAAAAAACACTTAGAGAAGAAAGAAACCTAAAATGAAATGTGTGTAAGAAAACAAACAATGGTTTATTTAAAATAGTGGAAGTTTTTTTTTTTAAATACATATATAAATATCACATAGGATAGATGTACATATCAAGTCGATTACCATTTTTAGCTCACCTGACCTGAAAGGTCAAGTGAGCTTTTCTCATCACTTTGCGTCCGTCGTCCGTCGTCCTGCGTCCGTCGTCCGTCGTCCGTAAACTTTTACAAAAATCTTCTCCTCTGAAACTACTGGACCAAATTTAACCAAACTTGGCCACAATCATCATTGGGGTATCTAGTTTTAAAAATGTGTGGCGTGACCTGGTCAACCAACCAAGATGGCCGCCACGGCTAAAAATAGAACATAGGGGTAAAATGCAGTTTTTAGCTTATAACTCAAAAACCAAAGCATTAAGAGCAAATCTGACATGGGGTAAAATTGTTCATCAGGTCAAGATCTATCTGCCCTGAAATTTTCCGATGAATTGGACAACCCGTTATTGGGTTGCTGCCCCTGAATTGGTAATTTTAAGGAAATTTTGCTGTTTTTGGTTATTATCTTGAATATTATTATAGATAGAGATAAACTGTAAACAGCAATAATGTTCAGCAAAGTAAGATTAACAAATAAGTCAACATGACTGAAATGGTCAGTTGACCCCTTTAGGAGTTATTGCCCTTTATAGTCAATTTTTAACCATTTTTCGTAAATCTTAGTTATCTTTTACAAAAATCTTCTCCTCTGAAACAACTGGGCCAAACTAAACCAAACTTGGCTACAATCATCATTGGGGTATCTAGTTTAAAAAATGTGTGGCGTGACCCGGCCAACCAACCAAGATGGCGGCCACAGCTAAAAATAAAACATAGGGGTAAAATGCAGTTTTTGGCTTATAACTCAAAAACCAAAGCATTTAGAGCAAATCTGACATGAAGTAAAATTGTTTATCAGGTCAAGATCTATCTGCCCTGAAATTTTCAGATGAATCAAACAACCTGTTGTTGGGTTGCTGCCCCTGAATTGGTAATTTTAAGGAAATTTTGCTGTTTTTGGTTATTATCTTGAATATTATTATAGATAGAGATAAACTGTAAACAGCAATAATGTTCAGCAAAGTAAGATTAACAAATAAGTCAACATGACTGAAATGGTCAGTTGACCCCTTTAGGAGTTATTGCCCTTTATAGTCAAATTTTAACAATTTTTCGTAAATCTTAGTAATCTTTTACAAAAATCTTCTCCTCTGAAACTACGTGGCCAAATTAAACCAAACTTGGCCACAATCATCATTTGGTTATCTAGTTTTAAAAATGTGTGGCGTGACCTGGTCAACCAACCAAGATGGCCGCCACGGCTAAAAATAGAACATAGGGGTAAAATTCAGTTTTTGGCTTTTAACTCAAAAACCAAAGCATTTAAAGCAAATCTGACATGAAGTAAAATTGTTTATCAGGTCAAGATCTATCTGCCCTGAAATTTTCAGATGAATCGGACAACCCGTTATTGGGTTGCTGCCTTTGAATTGGTAATTTTAAGGTAATTTTGCTGTTTTTGGTTATTATCTTGAATATTATTATAGATAGAGATAAACTGTAAAAAACAATAAATGTCGGCAAAGTAAGATCTACAAATAAGTCAACATGACCGAAATTGTCAGTTGACCCCTTTAGGAGTTATTGCCCTTTATAGTCAATTTTTAACCATTTTTTCGTAAATCTTAGTAATCTTTTACAAAAATCTTCTCCTCTGAAACTACTGGGCCAAGTTAATTATAGATAGAGATAATTGTAAGCAGGAAAAATGTTCAGTAAATTAAGATGTACAAACACATCACCATCACTAAAACACAATTTTGTCATGAATCCATCTGCGTCCTTTATTTAATATTCACATAGACCAAGGTGAGCGACACAGGCTCTTTAGAGCCTCTAGTTGTGGGTTGTGACATTTTGTTGAAAACTTTACATTGAAGGACACAAATAGTGTGCTTTTCTACGTGACACTTGTTACTTTAGATTTATCTTATACGTTGATGACCATCTAAATTTGTGGACAAATTTTTTATGTATGTAATAATATCATTCCGTGGTGGTCAGCATTTACTGACAATTTCCACAACCGCAATATTCTTTAAATGTTAGCACTCAATCAACTGACTCAGCTACAGAATTGCGACTTAATTTACCCCAGTTGCAGTTTTGTGTGATCAACTCCTCCTTCAGTTTTCAACCCAGATCCCTGAAACTTCACAGAAAGATTCCATACATGTTGAAGTTGAGGACCTACTTTTATGGAATTGTTTGAGGAATTTTTCCAAACTTGGGAACTTTTTCAGCAAAGTTACAAAAGACGGTACCAATTTTGTGAATTCAGCTTCTGTACATTGATCAACCTAGATCCCTGAAACTTCACAGAAAGATTCCATATGTGCATCGGCTATTATTTATTTTTTTTTTTTTTTATCATCCCCCAATTTTTCCTGACTTAGGATCTCAGTTATTTCCACAGCAGTATTTTCAAAAGATGGTAACAATTTTCATTTTTAAAATCCAAGTCCTTGAAACTTCACAGAAACTTAACAAGCTTTTGAAGTTGTGCATTTTCCATTATGAAGTTGTTTCAAGATTGCTTCCCAATTCTATATTTTTAATTTTCATATATTAAAATGTTCAGTATTGACCATTCTTCGTTGTTCTAGAAATATTCTGCACAACCTAACCATTTGAGTCTTTGATCCATTTTAATGTCGACTTTATGAATGAATTCTCTATTAGTGTAATAACAGGGTAACATAACATTTAGATTGAGGTCATGATGTGTATATACATTTTCATTCACTTAATAATTAACAGTGTCCAGAAATTTGTGCATCAGAATTTGAAAAATAGTTGTCATATTTTTTTTATCTATAGTTAAGTGATAATTACACCAAAACAGTACAGTTTCATTTGTAAAGAATTTCTTTCTTTGTTATGATAAAATTATAAGAAATTTATGTTTAGACTTTGTTTTCAGTGAGATGGTCCCCTAGTACTATTTAGTCGTATAACATGCTTTAAGTGTGAATGTTGTTCTCTGTAAAATGAAATTTAATTTTTCAATGCACTTTTATCTAGCTTGTTAAAACTGATCCTTCGATGCAGACATTCACTGTAGCCTATTTCATAGGAGGCACATCAACACGTCTAACATTGTTTTCCTATTCTCAATCTACTTATAAGATTCCCCCGTAAGTGTTCACTGTAATTATTCATGTCAGTCATCTTTATTTATTGACATATTGTGTAGCTTTAGTTATTTATGGATCTGTGTATTGTATTTTTTCCTTATTTAATCTGTAATAAAATGAAAAACATAATTAGTTAGTTGTTCTTGTATGATATAACTTCATGATCACATAACTACTGACAATAATTTGTCTCAAAAGGAGAAGATATGGTAAGGCCACTTTTTTGGCCTATTGAATTCGAAAATAAAAAATTATTACAAATCAGCGAAATAACAGGCTGTAAATGTTCATCCAAACATTAGACTATCAATCATCAGTATTTATATTTTCATATTTTGTCTTACATATTTACAGTAGGGCTACAAAGTCCGGGAATTTTGTGATAAAAAAAATGCAAACTGCCAAAATAGCCTCATTTTGAGATCTTGTCATTTGATATTAAGATATGAACATCAGCTTTACCCAAAAAAATATTTTGCAACAAGATGTAATTTGCATTGATTCAAATGTGTGTAAAATATATTTTTTGGGATAAAGCTGTTGCTATTTTGAAAGAAAACTATTTAGGTCTAAAATGTCAATTTCATCACAAAGACAATATTCCTGACTGATAATATATATGGATAATTCATGACATCACAAATAACCTTTCTGAACTAAAGTGTCCAGATTATTTCAGCCCATTCATTTATCCATTAGATTAACATAATTTTGAAAGGCATAACAAGATTTAACTTTTTTTGCGATTTCAGTGGCTCTTATCATACCTCCTTTGTATGACTTTGTCTTATATGTTAGGCAAATTTTTGGCTGTGTCAGGCTTTGGCATGGTGTCTTACCAGATGTCTTTACATTAATTATCCAAATATATGATCAGTCAGGAATATTGTCTTTTAGACCACCTATTCTTAGAGACTTTCTTTCCAAATGTTACTATCTGGGAATTTCTATATGTGTGTTGGATAAAATAATAATACAGGTGTAACACAGCTGTTGCATTATCTGTAAATATAGTTATTGATTGATGGGTAGTTAACATCCAGCTGCAAATATAACTTTGCAGCGTCACTGATGAGTCTTTTGTAGATGAAATGCATGTCTGGCATACAAAATTTAAATCCTGGTATCTATGATGAGTTTATTTGCATATTCAGGACTATGAAACTGACTTGTTCAATTTGATTATAAATGTGATTGGACGAAGTTGCCTTATTCAGACACGTTTTTATCTGATTATAAGCTAACCAATCAGATTTTACTCCTTAAGGCCAAAATCTCATCAGAAGTCACTGTCTTCTTGTCTTTGTGAAACAAAATGAATTGTTTCGTGGTCATGTCTTTGTTTCTCTGTAATTGAGTAATTATTGCCCTTTGAAATCAACAATACAGCAATGTTCTTCAACCATTGTCTCATTGTTATCAGACCATTGCCTCCTTGTGATCAAACTATTGCCTCATTGTGATCAAACCATTGCCTCGTTGTGATCAAACCATGGTTTCATTGTGATCAAACCATTGTCTCGTGATCAAACTATTGTCTCATTGTGATCAAACCATTGACTGGTTGTAATCAAACCATTGTCTCATTGTGATCAAACCATTGTCCCTTTTTGATCAAACAATTGTCTCATAGTGATCCAACGATTGTCTCATAGTGATCAAACCATTGTTTCATTATAATCAAACCATTGCCTCGTTGTAATCAAACTAGTGTCTCCTTGTGATCAAACCATTGTCCCATTGTGATCAAACCATTGTTTCATTATAGTCAAACCATCGCCTCGTTGTAATCAAAATAGTGTCTCCTTGTGATCAAACCATTGTCCCATTGTGATCAAACCATTGTCTCATAGTGATCCAACGATTGTTTCATTGTGATCAAACCATGGTCTCATTGTGATCCAACGATTGTTTCATTGTGATCAAACCATTGTTTCATTATAGTCAAACCATTGCCTCGTTGTAATCAAACCAGTGTATCCTTGTGATCAAACCATTGTCCCATTGTGATCAAACCACGATCTCATAGTGATCCAACGATTGTTTCATTGTGATCAAACCATGGTCTCGTTGTGATCAAATCATTGCCTCGTTGTAATCAAACCAGTGTCTCCTTGTGATCAAACCATTGTCTCATTGTGATCAAACCATTGTTTCGTTGTGTTCAAACCATTGTCTATTTGTGATCAAACCATTGCTCCGTTGTGTTCAAACCATTGTCTATTCGTGATCAAACCATTATCTCATTATAATCAAACCATTTTCTCTGATCAAACCATTGTCTCATTGTGATCAAACCATTGTTTCCTTGAGATCAAACCATTGTCTCCTTGTGATCAAACCATTGTAGCATTGTGACCAACCATTGTTTCGTTGTGTTCAAACTATTGCCTCCTTGTGATCAAACTATCATCTCAATTATGATCAAACCAGAGGCAGTCAGTGCCTCCCTTATGAAAATTTCTGGATCCGCCACTGCAAACCATTGTCTCCTTGGTTGATCAAACCATCGTCTCATTGTGAGTCAACCATTGTCTCACTGTGATCCAACCATTGTCTCATTGTGATCTAACCATTGTCTCATTATGATCCAACAATTTTCTTAGTGTGACCAACCCTTGTCTCCTTGTGATCAAACCAAGGTATCATTGTGATTTAACGATTATCTTCATGTGGTCATTCTGTAATGTCCCTGTGAAGTAAAAGACTTAAATATGTTCCTCTGATTATTAAGTAAATCATTGTCTCTGAAGGCAATTTTCTGTCTTTTGTGACCAATCTGATGCCTGAGATCAGTGTTTCACTCTGATGAAGTTTTAGTAATCGTCATGTACGAACAGTTTCGTTTATCGAATCATCGTCTCACTCCGATCTACAATTCTCCTCTTTGGTCAGTCTGATGAAATCACAAGATTAGTTGCCCTTTCAACAATCCACTGTCATCATGTAGATCAGATTAAACAGAACTGGTTTGAATGCAACCAAAACGTTATATATTTAAATGATCAAATAAATGTCTTTATTATATACTTAGTAGTAAATACAGATAAATTGTACGTGTAATAAAATCATTGGCAAGCGTGCTGTATCAGCCACCCGTGATGATATCGATACGTCATCGATTGCAGTCACGGTTGCAAAGGCTTTATCAAACCCCTTCTCTGTATGACGTCATGTCAAACCTATAATCTGTATGACGTCATTTCAAACCTTCTTATCTGTGTGACGTCATGTCACATAAAAAACATCTACATGAGGTATATGTATATAATAAAGTGTATATGATATGGCTTTTTCAATATCACACACCGTATCAACCCTCAACCAATATAATCCCTCGAGCAGAGCTCTTGGGATTATATTGGTGTCTCAGGTTGATACGGATGTGATATTGAAAAAGCCATATGATATTCACTATTTCTATGATCTTTCATCGTTCACAGTGATCATATCAATATCTCTTTGATCAAACCATTATTCTTTGTAAAACACCAATATCTTTATGCTTGATTGGATGTTGATTGCTGTACGTCCAGTGGAAAATATTTCATGCATGTTCAGGACGAAAACAAATTAACAAAAAATACAGTTGGTAAGTCCTGCAATAGGGGTCGACCGGGATGAAGGGCAGGAAACTAGAAATGTCACTGGGAAATGAGGGTTAATTGGATAGGGACAGATATTTAGCCTTGTAACATGCCACCTGCTGAACCCTCACGGAGATGTTGCAAGGGTTTCTTTAACGCACAAAAAGCGGGGAACTCTCTAAACGAGGCATCGGATTTTACGTCCCATTCTGACCTGACTTGGCTGTGAATTCATACATTCTGCACATCCAAACGGACGCACCACTTTGGCAAAGGGTTTCCTGTCGCTTTGAAAGAAAAACCAAGGGATTACCATAATTTTATACCCAAGTCAACCCTTGCATTGGGTTTATTGTTTCTATGAATCTAATCATTGTCTTTTTATCAAACCATTATCTTTATGCCTTTATGCGTTCAAGCTATAATTTACTTTTAGCTAAACTGTCTCCATCTGATCTAGTTTTTTTTTCTGTAACCAATTAAGTCACTGTCGTCTCCCTGTGATTGTTTTCATTCTACAAATCATTTCCTCTCTATGACCAACCCATCATCTCTCTGTCAACATGTGTTATAAGTCCTCATCACACTAGACACATCATTGTATCTTTAACTCCCTAATAAAACCAGTATCTTCCTATCTGCCATCTCAGTGTGCTCAAATTATTTTCTCACAGTTAATTCTTCTGTCTCATTTTTATTTATACCACATTGATACACTTAACATCTTACCTTGTTTTGGGTGAATTTACCAACTCTGATGCAAACCCTCGTTTTACTATCTATTCTAAAATTAGTTTTCTTTATATGGATTTAAGAATTGAATGCATGATTTATCATTGTTTCCATGTGATAAAGTCCTTGTCTCCATTTACACAAGTTATTGATACAAAAATAAGGAGATGTGGTATGGTTCCCACATAAGACAACTTTCCACCAGAGACCAAATGACTAAAGTTCAACGGGTGAGAGGTACAAAACTGCAACCTAGCCTGACTATGGAATCATTTAATCATACAACAACCTTAGTCGTCTGTTGGAAATATTGTCATTTTCATTACATTTATGTGAATTAGGCGTACAGTATGCTTAAAGAGACGGGGCAAATTTCTCATGACATTACTTCCCCTTACCCTTACACTAAAATTCCTCATGTGTAGCAGCTTCATGTGTGTACTTCGAGGCTTGCATGGGCATCATTATGTGATATGTTTTTTTTAACTAAGTCAAATTATAAATGCTTATATGTCTTATGTCATATCTTTATGCTTTGGTAATCAGAGAATTTTGTGTTGAAGGCAGATGTTTAGATTCAGTTTGATTTAAATAGGTATAACTGAGATCTCAATTTTGTCAGATTCTTGCAAATATGAGTACTTCAATCTAAAATCAGTTGGAAAGACAATCCGAACCTAAACAAAACTTTTATTGTTGTAAAAGTAAATATTAGTATTGTCTACCAGATTTAAACTAGTTCATTTAAGTTTCTGGTGTATTCATATATCAGTCATTTCAAAAAAATGTACATTTTTCGGTTATTGTCTA